CGAGTGTATATTGTCAAAAATTGAAGTGCAATACGTAAAGAACTCTTCAGTCAATCGAGATGACGATGATGTTGGGATAGAAATGTGGATGAACCAAATTTTAACTCTTTGATGGCACAAATGTGCCCAAATGCTGCATGTGTGTCTGTGTGCTTGTATATACGAGTTGATTGCATACAAGCGCCCCTCTGTGTGTGTGTGTGTGAATGTGTATGTTTGCATGCCATTAAAGCGCAGCGTTGACCATGGCTATGAAAGTGTTTGCCAATGCGTTAATTAGGCCAGGCCAAAGAGCTGCAGCAAAGCCAAATGCTGCGTCAATTTGCTGTGCACACACACACACACACGCAGAGTCAACCACTTGTTTAGCTGTTTTTGAACTATATTATAAACGTGACATCAAACGAAATAACTTCCATGCCATTTTGCGTGTCTAATTAGCTTGTTCTAAGAACTCGTCCTATTTGCATTTGCCAAAAGAGAGAGCAACGACTGCGTCGTGGCACAACAATTACACCCGTTTATTCGTATTCAAATCCGACCGTAAATGTAATTAAGCTCATGAGAATTAAACGTAAATTTATTTTGCCACCGAGCGGACGAGCGCGCAGCTCTCGTTAAGCGCCCAACAAAAAACCTCACGCGCAAATCCTTTCCTAATATCTAACCTTCTTCTCTGCGCTCCGGCTAATTTCTCTGCGGGCGGCGGGTGCAGGAGTTGTGCTTTAGTCAAATACTTGGGGGGGAATTGGTCTACGGTTCGGTTCGGTTTCTGGTCGCGTGTCGCATATAAATTGGCTCATTGCTGGATTCTTGTCTGCGTAATTCCATCTTCTTCCTTTTTGGTGATAACAATTCCGCGTTTTTTATATTCTTCTTCTTGAGTGTTCACTCGTTTTCTTGATTGTTGCGTATTTTACATTTTTTTTTTGTCGAATGAATTGAATTATGGGAATTTTTTTTAGTGGAGTATAGAAAGGAAAAAGGCAGCTTTGGGCTGTGCAGAATTTAAATATAAATATAAATAATATAATACATCGATTTTAAAATCGAATAAAAAAATATATTAGATAAGCTATATAAAATAAAATAGAATAGAATTCTCCAAATCAATTGAGCCAAATTGTCAATTTTAGAAGCAAATGCCCGCACATGTTCTTTCGGTTAACGCTTACAATTTTTTTCCAACTAAATCAAGCTGCCACAATATCTATGCTATTGCCAAAAAAAAATTGTTGTGCCCCGAGCATCGACAACATTAAAAACCAATCAAGCTCATTGTCACATAATCAGCCCAGACTCACACATGTTTTATAATATATTTTTTATAAAGTCTGTTGTAGTCAGTCGTCGTATCATAGCACACACACACACACCGAGAAAGAGGAACAGCCCAAAACTCTGGCACATAATAGTTTTGGCTTATGAAAACAAATTCAATCTGGAAGCTGCTTATGAAAATGTTTATGCAAGACGTGCGCAAACTGTGTGGGCTGATGGTTGGGGGATGGGCAGTTGGAAAGGCAGCACCGCATTGCCGGAAAAATTAATGTCACATGACAGCAGAGTGAGTGAGTGCTGCCTGCAAGCGAGGGCGGGCAACTGGGCGTGGCAGCCATGCATTTTAGTCAGATAAACAAGCACCAGTCGAGCTAGGGCAGGGCTCGGTCGGGATGTAGGGAAGTAGGGTTATAGCTGTAGGGGTTGTGTGCCCTGACTCTTGGTACAGTTGCGCAAAGTTGACTCTGACAAATTGAAAATCATTGAACAGCGAAAGTAAAATGCGCACCTAAGCAACGAGGGGGGGTTGCAGGAGATGCATCGCGCTGTGTGTGTGTGTTTTTTTTGTGTGTTGGGGATGGCTGCTGTGTTAGTGGCTTAGTGAAAAATAGTGTAGCATACATTTAAGCAAATTGCAATTAAGGTTGGCAACGTTTGCACAATGCTTTGCGATATTCAAAACCCCCATCCACACCTCCAACAGCCCGACCCACTTGCAACCGTTTCCGTTTGCCGCTTGCCGCTCGACAAAGTGCGCCAATATGCCACAAAGTATGCAACAATATGCAGCATAAATACTTTGTACGCTTCCAACTGTGTGTCACTGCTCTCTCCTCCAGTCTCTTTCTCTTGCTATTGCTCCCTGTGTGCATTTGCAATAAACGCCACATAAATGTTGCATATGCCGAACGAGTTGCATTTTATTTTTCTAGCTTTTGGCTCCTGCACACGCCTCCGCCCATAAATGGCAGCAGCAGCACCCGTTTTAATGGATCTATGTGCCCCGTTTCGTAGCCATTTTTCACTAGCAGCAACAGCTGCAAGCAGCATTGCACTACGGCAGGTCCAGGGCCAGCAGGGGCTGGTGGTTAGAGGGTAGGCTAGCGTTTATAGCTGCTTGTTGTGGTGTTGGTGGTAATGTTGAAAATGCGCCTGGTTGATCTTATGTTTATTTTGTCGTTCATTTTATGGCTGTTTGTGTATCATTGCGCTGTTGCCACATTTGACAAGCGGCAAAATTCAGTATGCATTGCTGCCAAACTTCATCAGGCAACATTCTTACACCTTGTTGCCAGAATTTATTTAAAGAACGTACAAACGTTCTTGGCTGTCCATTATTTGTAGCCTCACTCGCTGTTGCCAAACTTCACTTCACCTAGCACCTCGATGGCGAACTTCACCGGAACTTTGCCTAATTTCAAGGCAAATATATACAATTTTACTTTAATATTGTCGCAATCAAGTTTAAAACTTTCTAAACAGCTCCTGTGTTAGAAGCCCCAGCAATTATTTGCACTTACCGCTGGCGTTCTTGTCGAACTTCATTAGTTTACATTATTTGCAATTTCCGCACCTAATTGTGGTCCACGTGTCGTATGAGTAACTCGCATGCAAATAAACCCAACTAACCAACTGGAGTTAAATTGCCATCGCACACTTTGCGCTTCATAAAAACTAAACTGCAACTTCCGGAACTCTCGCTGAACTTCCACTTCCACCTGGCGCTTTGCTCATAATCTAAAATAATTTTGTGCGCGCGCAAAATTTACACCTGAGACGACGTCGTTGGCGTCGTCGCCTTGCGTGTGAAAATTTTCCAGCAATTGCATGCAACAATTCCCGCGCCACGGTACCGCAAAATGCTTAAACATTTTAGGCACGCTTCCGACCGCCAGCTGCCCAACCTCGGGGCAATGAAATTCTTTCTCTCATACACTTGACCTGGCCAAAGACTTGAGCTTCGCGTCACGCATACGCCCCATGCGCTAGGCAACAAATCAGCGACCCGTCTCTGAATTTCAATTAAAGCCCTGTGCGAGGTTGATTTTGAGGGGCAATAGTTAAAATGAATCACAGTGTTTACCTCTTGCCACAGGCTGTGGCACGTTCCGAGTTTAGGAGCATTTATTGACTTGCGCTCAGCGTGTCGGGGAAGCAGCAGCAGCTGCCGTGGCCCAAAAATTTATCTATGGCTTATTTGCTTAAGGCCAAGTTTTAAATTGAAATGTGCTGGCAACCTTGTGATGATGCTCTTGCCACATCGTTTTTTTAAATGTAAAATTCGCATGCAAACTGTAAACGTATTAAAAGCTTATGGTTTATCGGAGGAACTTCTAGTTTTGACTGCCCAGCCATACCTTCAGGCAACTGGAACTAAAACCGAACAGAAAAAGTATTTAATGCGAAGTGCGAAGGATTTAATGCTGTGTATATTTAAAAAATAGAACAAATATGAAATCCTTATGAAAAATCGGTTGGAATTTGAAATATTTGCGAATTTTCAATTTGAATGGCACAAGGCTTAAGCACTTCGCCCTCTACCTCTGTGTAGGACCGAAACCCAATTTGGTAGCCAAAAACTAGCGCAAGCATAAAAGGTAAAACAAACAAATAGCAGCAAGTGGCGCGCTCAACGCTCACAACCCTGTGGATTTTTATATAAATATTTTGTCAGGTAGAATCGCCGACGATGGAACCAGAATATTTGGAACCAGCGTAAACAAACAGTTGCCGTTGGCGTGTTAGGTTCCAGCTACTAAATAAAATCAAAACAAAAGCGCAGCTTAAAGCAGAAAATTGAGAAGCGTAGAGGAGGGCGGTAGTCAAGTGGCATGCAAATTCCAGTAACTGACGTGACATTGATAAAAGTTTTAAATCTTGACTTTAAATTCCGTCAACTTTTGCGTTCATGTGTTTATTAAGTAAAAGCCTTGGGAACGTTTTCTTTATAGTGTGCCCTGCTAGCATGTGCCACATACACAACGCTATTCGAAATGAAAAATGGGTGGTTGAAGTTTTGTATGGGCAGTAAATCTTTGCTAGACTTTCCTTGTTATTGGCCTGTCGATGGGCTATTGCGGGTCTACATGTTGACAATTTTTGGGATATACATATTACATACATACATATACATGCATATTGTGCGTTACAGTGGGATAGAAAAGCGCATTTGCTGCTCAAATTTAATCGAATACGTTCCTTTTACTGCTGCATCCCATATTCCCATGTTTTTTGCGCCTCTCTTTGCGCTTCTCATGCACTGTACTTTGGCTTGTAGCTTGTAGCAACCACCACTGTTGTATTGTAATGAAAAAAAATTCAATTAACTGGCTTACCAAGCCGCAACTGGCATAAAAAAGTAACCACAACCACCCAAGGCCCAGCAACCAATTCTGGCTACTGCTTCTTTGACTCGAATGAAAGCGCAGACAAAACAAATTTTTTTCGGCTTTAAATTGGATTTTTCGCAAATTTGGCTGGCGACTCGCTTCAACAACATCAAACACAACATTTTGCATGCAACAACACGAAAAAAATAAAATAGAAAAAGTTGTAATTTAAATTTAAGCATATTTTTAAGTTATTTAATTAATAAACTCGCAATTATTTATGTGCTTTTTCTTTTTTATTTTTTTCTTTGGTTTTTTCGATTCTTGTTAAAATTGTTGTTGCATGCAAAATGTGAATAACAAATTGTTGAATTGCACCAAAAACTGTAGTTGCAACAATACAAACACAACATCGCAACAACCACCACCACCACCACAACAACCACCAACAACAACAACACCAACAACATCATCACCACCACCAACAACACCATCAACAACAACTTGTTGCCCCAGCTCAAACGCACAATCTTGTTCCATTTAAAGAGCCACCACTATTGGGACCAGGCACCGCCTTCCCACCATTCGGTGCACCCGAATACCATCCCACCCAGCCGGATAACTGGAAGGGCGCCGCCATCCATCCAACTGGCCTCATGAAGGAGCCAACCGGCGTTGTTGCCGGACGCAATGCGCCAGTCGCCTTCGCTCAACAGGGACAGGCTCAGGTGAGTATCGAAATATCCCCCGTTGCCCCTAGCTGCTCCACCTATTCCAGACTCCACTGGCTTGGCTTGCAGCTTTATTTCTTCTCATAAATATAATTTTAATTTTAATGCACAATTTCTGCTCACGCTGCAATCCTTGCCAGAGGCAAAGCCACATCCCACAAATACCCGACAGCTGCTCCTGCTGCTGCATCTGGACAGCATTTTAATTAATTTGTTGTTGCGTTTTTTTCTCTTACACTTTTCCATCCTCAGGGCGCTGTCATGATGGTCTATGGCATGGACCATGACACTTCCAACACAGATAAGCTCTTCAATTTGGTCTGCCTGTATGGCAATGTTGCCCGGGTAAGTTTCCCCCAACTATAAACTATATTAATTTGTTATAAATTGCACGAAATGACTGAAAATCTCGGGTTTGCGACAGTGCAGATCTTATGAATAAGCGCCTATAAAAAGTTAATTAATAGCTTGTGGGTAATTGGGGGGAAAATCAAAAGCCGAAATTATATTAAACAATTTTGAATATAATATGGAATGCTGTGATGAAATAGTTAGATATTTGATACGTGGTGTTGCCACTTTGCGCAGCAAAAAAGTTATACAGCACTGAACTTAAATCTCTTGGATTGCTACTTTGAGGAAGAGCTTTTCTTGTGTCATATTTGACCTTTAAACAGTGGGCGGGAATGCTCTTAAACTTGCACTTAGCAAGATGACATGAAAAAATACGCTACTCGCTTGCTCGTCAGCAAGAATTTTTGTCGAGGCTAGCCACAAAACCACAAGACATTTCGTGAGTGTGACTTCCATTTGTAAATGTGCAAATAAAACGAAACGCAATAAAATTGAAGGCAGAGGCCAGGCAAAAAGCTAAAGCCCCTAGGCCCGCACAAACGCGGGGCAGTTGGTCCACAGCAAAACACATTTAGATAAAGCGTTTCAGATTAATGCCAGGACATGTGCGAGGAAGGGTTGGGGCTATGAGTGTTGTGTGCTCGCATCAAAGATGCCCGCGGGCAGCAATCAGTGCAGCGTCATCAACGTGCCACACAAAATGTGAAAAGAATTGATACCATTTTAGAGTAACACAAAATGCTTGCTAAAAAATAAATCATACTTGGTAAAATTACAGAAAATATCCTTTAAAAATAAACCCGAATACCTTTGCAAAATGACAATTCAAATGGGCACTCCATTGTGCGAGCGGAGCGCTTGGGGAGCGTTTAGCAGAACTATTGTGAGCCACGCAGTCGCCGCCCGACTGCCGCTAACAATGGCGATAAAAAAGAAAAAAGAATGGGGGAAAATAAACCGAGCGCGGCGACATCAAAGTCGAAAATGGTAAAAAGAAAAATGAAAAGTGAGTTCCTTGGCAACAGGACTCGCTTTCACTTTATTGCCACTAAGTCGCTCGCTCTGTGTATGCGTCCTTTGATAATTGCGTCTGGGCACAAGGATAACGCAAAACGAAGTCAGTTCAGTTCCTTATCCCACTCAAACAAAGCGCATGACCCGTGGGCTTCTGGAGGAATGCAACATAAATCTATACAACGGGGGAGTTGATTTGAAATCTATAGACTTGGGAATTCGTGAAAGGTTATGTTGTTGCTCTTTAAAGTTAAAAAGAAATGACCGCTTCTGGTCTATACATACAACATATGGCAACACTTTCCTAAATTTCGCTCAGATTATATGGCAACGCCAATGTATATAACCATATCGCAACACTTTTATTAGCAAATAATTTTACAGTTCTCACATACACAGCTAATCGCTGACCATATGGCAACGCCACATAGTAACTTTAGTTAGCTTATCTTTGACCATATGGCAACATTTTTATCTAAAGCGTAGTTTCCACTTCATAAATCTCAGCATTCGCCACTAGCCAATTTTTCAACAATTGCGCTACATTAGCCTTTACGGCGCTTTACAACACGGACACACGCACATAGTGACATAGCGCTCCGCCCCGCCTTATGTGCTTGTTCACGCCCAGCCACAATTAAATGCAATTTACGCGCAAAATAAAAAGAAAAGCAGAAAACTTCTGGCCAGCAACCTAAAGCGAACAGCGGACAGTCACCAACATGTTGGGTCAGTGGGACTTAAGGAGGAGGGTTTGAAGTCGGAATAGTTGGCTAGGATAATTCAAGGCACAGGCAATTTAGTTCGCATTTTTCTCATTGTTGTTGGCTCTGGGGTGGCCGACGCCCAGTTGAGATTTATTACAAACTTCCTGTCCGAGACGGAAACTACTCATTAGCCATTAAAAATGATTATGCGCAAACATTATTCACTGGCGCTCCTCTCGCTAAGCCACAAAACATGCATCGTCCCCCTCGCTCTCTCTCTCTCTCTCTCTCTACCTTTCGCTTCTTCGCTCTCTTTCTCCCACTTGCTCTCGAGACACAGGCCAATCTCTAGCTGCTCCGCCCACTCTCATTTTCTCTTTTACATTGAGCTCTAAAGAAGCCAGCCACGTGTTATGCCAACCTCATTATAAACTAGCATGTCTATATGTGTGCTTGTGTGTGCTTGTATGTGTGCATCCCATCAGTTTATGTCCGACATGTTTGAATTGCGAATGAGAAATTGATGGGCACTCAATCAAAGTGTGCTGCCTGAACTTGCGGCTGGCTCCTGTTCTTGGTGTTAATGTGCGTCCCAGCCACATCGCAGGCGCATCTCATTTTAAAGGCATGTGCTGTAGATTAGCGATAAAATATATATACAGCTTGTGTGCCTCGCATAACGAAACGCAACTACTCTTCCTTTTCACATGATAAAATTTAAAATAATGGGGTTAGAGGTAAGGCTTATGCAGCCTGTGCACATCTCACATCTCGAACTAAAAGAGTTGCTTATATTTCTGAGTAGATCCTCAGATGAACTCTCTTGGTCTTGGTCAATCTATTTAAAAGAAGAGTATCTGAAAGAAACCTGTGCACAAACATCATGCACTTGGCCATAAGTCAAGCCTGATCAAATTTGGAATTCATTTTGCCCAGCCTTAAGGCAAAAAAAAAGATTCGATTATCCCAGTGAATTAGGGGCAATCAACCAACAGATGAGGTAGATGATAGGAACAGCCCCGTCCAATTTTTTGACAAATTTTCAAAGCACACATCAAGGCGGTTATCCAGCTACCTTTTGCTGATGTGTTGATTTTGCTTTAAACTAGATGTAGGTGCCAAGGAACGCCTGGCAATCAATCGATTTAATTATTTTTCAGCTGCGATGAAGTCATCGGCCAAATTGATTTTCAGGTTAAATGGCTTGACAAAAACAGGGCAAGAGGCCAAAAGCGGTAGTATCTTTAAACGCAGGCAGCAGCGACAACAACAGTTGGCAACAACAACCACCAGCAGCAGCAGCAGCAACAACAACAACAACAACAACAACAACAACAACAATCACACGCACTCAATTAAATGCGCATTAAAAAGGCATTTGGCTCGTTTGGGGAGGGGACATGTTGTGCCCTCTTGGGAATTGAGGATGTGCGTATTATTTGGGCTTGGGGGAAATCCTGGGCAACCATTGCAGCCAATATTCTTTCTATTGTTGTCGGGTTTTTGCTGTTGCCCCTGCTGTTGTTGTTGGCGCCCAGCGCGTGAGCAATTAAATCAAACGGCAGCAGACGCCACGGCACATTGAGCAGCAGACACAAATAGCGGATAGCCATGGGGCATATTAAGCTTGAGATGGATTAGGTAAACGATCCTCAATCTGTTTCTGAAAAGAGAATAAGATTGATATCAAAATAAGCAGTGCTGATATTTTCTGGCTCGGAGGCTTTTACATATGGATTGACTAGAGCAAAATTATATAGATCTCACATTTCCAGGGTATCTGACAGCGCATCACAACGCTTGGTAAATTGTACGCATTGTTTTAATTAACGCAACATACGCATTCAAGTATCTGGTAGGGAATTGGTTGCTGGGCGTCCTAATGTGGGGCAAAAGCGAGCGGGTAGCTAGCTGCTAGGAGGGCTTCGGTGAGAGACGGACAAGGGCAAAGGGCAACAGCACAGCTCATTAGGCACGCACCAAATGTTTGTCGCTCGCTCGCTCGCAATTCGAACCAGCTCTGACCGGTGGCCAGTGGCCAGTGAGCCATGAAGAGCGAGCGCTCTTTGATTTGTGAATGTCCTGGCGCCTGTTTTGCGCGTGTCCGGTACGTCGCCGTATGGGGCATGCCCCGCACCATTTGCCACAGATTTCATAAATGCCTTTTGTTTTAGCTACTGCTAGCTGCTTGGGAATTGGCGGGCTATCTGCACGCTTTCTGCCTCACTGATTTATGGTCTATATTTATTTATATATACAATTTTATTTTGGGTTTTCGTGTCTGGATTGTGTGGGGCGCCTACCTTTCGATAAGCCTCATTTAGTTTTCATTCACTCGCTCTCTCTCTGCCATGTTATATTCGTATTCATTTGGATTCCTGCCGTCAGTCAAGCGTATGCGCTTCGATATGTATACATAAATAAATATATAACAAATATAATATATGGGCTTATATATGGCATAGCATAAGCTACAGCTGCCTCGTGTCTGCTTTCATTTGATAGCAATATTTCGGTTGTTAAGCTTCTTTCTTAAATTTTAACAATGATTTTTCCAACCATAAACTGTAATCTGTTTGCCTTCGGGCTTGCTAGCGGAACTTTTATTCAATTTAAATTATTTACAACTTAATTATGTGCAAATTTGTTTTTGCAAATTAAACAATGAATATTTTATGGAAGGATTAAATCGTTTAAGCAGATCCAAATTTGATGTAAAGTAAACAATTTTAATAATCTACTGGCTGGTCAAACACAGGGTGTGTACATGCCAAGATAAATTCCTTTAGAGCAAAATGTGTTTATTTATTCAATTTTTATTTGATTTGAATTCATTTCACTCAAATATATTAAATTGGTAGATTCAAAAAAGAAATAAAACTAAAATAAAATATTGGCGATTAAAATTATTTTAATATACTAATCATGAATATAAATGGAGCAAATTTAACTTCAAATCGAATCGAATTTGAAAAATAATTTAAAAAATAATGCGAAAGAAATAAGTGCAAGGAAATGGGACTTATCCATTGCGCCTTGTACCTAATTTGTATGCTCTACAAATGTTTTATATTCTTTCGCTTCGCTTAACAACTTCAGTTTAATAATAATGTCTTGTTGAGAAAATATTGCGGCACTTGACTTGATTGCCATAGTTTGTTGTTTTTGTTGCTGCTGTTGTTGCTGACTGAGAGAAGTTGTTTGTGCTGCTGCCGCTGCCGCTGCTGCTTGTTGCAACGAAAACTAACAAACAATTTGCCTGTCACTTTCAAGTGGAAACTGGCCCAAGACCATAAGACAAAGACAGCCTGCAATTATTTGGCCAAAATGCCGCCTGCAGTTATAACTCAGTTGACCCAAGCTTCAAGCCAAGTTGGGTAATTTTTAGCCGCTAAACTGCAACAAATAAATCAAAAAAAAAACAGACCACGCAGTACAAAATGACATTTGTGTGAGCGCATTTTTTTTTTATTTATGGAAAACTTGGCTTAAATGCACCAAATTGGCGGCATTTGAAAATAAAATGAAAACCAAAATATTGCGCGCTGCCAATTTGGTGCTGCAGGTGCAAAAACACGTTTTCACTTATTGAGTTCATTGCCTCGCCGCAGCAACAGCAGCAGCAGCATTAACAGTAACAGTAACAGTAGCTGGCCGCGTTGCAAATTCAATTGCCAAGTTAACTTACGGCCAAGTTAACTAACCGACCAGCCAAGCAGCCGAAACAGCCAAACGGCCAAGCTGCAACATTTTCCATAGATTTTTCACTTTCACCGTCGTGTAATTATTGCACTCGAATTGGTTAATTAACTTTATGGGAAGCCACCGCCGCTAGGGGGTGCCAAAAGGCTTGGCCACAAATAATTGAGGGCTTATACACATTTATGTTAACAATTAGTTTGGAAAGTGCACTAAAGACCTTGCCATAAACTTCACTAATTTAAAGCGCGGTTAAACACTCTGTAAAATGTTTCACATCCTTAATTATACCCAGCTGACACAATTTTCAACTCAAATGTCGCAATGTTATAAATTGAACCATGAGTTGGTTTTATTTTACTATTTTCACTAGGCAAATTCGATGGTTTTTATAGTTGCCAAGTTCCTATGGCTTGATTCTTCTACCAAACAAATTCTACTCGCATTTAACTCGCATTTACTACCGGGCATTCAAACTTGTTTCGCTAATTTTGGTAATTTGTCACGTACAACAGAATATACCATATATATATATATATATATATAATTCTACAATACACTCGTAGAATGTGGCACATCGTGAGATAGCACAATGTGCACCAAATTAAGGGTCTCATTCAATTTGATAATTTCATTTTGAAATAAATTTTAAATTGAATTCAATAAAAAAATACCTAAATTTTACTCACGTTCGTAACTATGCGAGGTCCGGCTAAGGACTGGGTAAAAGTAAAGAGGTCGACACTGCGAGAAAACTCAATCAAATGAAAACCGACAGCTCTCAACGGTCGATGCGTCAATATGATAGTTAGCCAGAATTGTGTGCAAGTACACGTAAATGCACCTGCCACAATTGCGTTTAATAACATTTGCGAAACAAAATTGAGGTGGCGGTTGCAAGATATAGCAAATTAACGCTGAGTTAATCTCATGGTAGAGTTCGGGGTAAAGCTCTTTATAAAGTTCAGAGTAAAGTATATGGTAGAGTTCGGGGTAAATCTCATGGTAGAGTTCGGGGTAAAGTATATGGTTTAAAAGCCTTTGATAGGAGCTGACTAACGAGATGGACAAGAAAATCAATATACATTAAATTGCAATTAACTTTAATTAAATCATTGTATATTAACCTCTTTCTGCAGATCAAGTTCTTGAAGACAAAGGAGGGCACCGCCATGGTACAAATGGGCGATTCGGTTGCCGTTGAACGTTGCGTGCAGCACTTGAATAACATTCCCGTTGGCACTGGCGGCAAAATACAGATTGCATTCTCAAAGCAGAACTTCCTATCGGAGGTGATTAATCCATTCTTGCTGCCGGATCATACACCCAGCTTCAAGGAGTACACTGGCTCTAAAAACAATCGATTCCTATCACCGGCACAGGCCAGCAAGAATCGCATTCAACCACCGAGCAAAGTGAGTGCAAGCTAAACCAGATTTTAATTCAATAATATAATATATATATTCGTATTCCCAATAGATCTTGCACTTCTTCAACACACCGCCCGGTCTGACCGAGGACCAGCTTATTGGAATATTTAACATTAAGGAGGTGCCAGCCACATCTGTGCGTCTCTTCCCCTTGAAGACAGAGCGCTCGTCTTCGGGTCTGATCGAGTTCCCCAACATTTCGCAGGCCGTGCTCGCCATCATGAAGTGCAACCATCTGCCTATTGAGGGTAAAGGTGAGATAGTGTTGTGTTTAAGTGTTTTTCGAAAAAAAAAAACGAAACAAATCAAAAAGTTGGCTATTTAAAAATTTTGTGCATATGGCCAGTAAATATAAAAAGAATTTGAGAAAAAAGTTACACAAAATTTTCGCAAAAAAAAAAAAATATCCACAACTTCCCAACACCACCACAACCCCAAAAAGTAGGCAATATGCAAAAGTTAGGGCGCCATTCTCGCAATGGCCTCTTGACTTTTGCTGCCGGCCCACTAAACCATCACACCAAAACACAACCCAGCACACACCCAACCCCAAAACCCACCGATTCACCAAACCACCAATCCACCAACCCCCAACCACTCGAAACAACCCCACCTTAACACAGCCTCGCGCCAAACTTTTGCTCTTTCATTTTCCTTGGCTGCGCAAAAGTTTTTAGTTATGAGTCGCGTTGAAAATTTTAATTTGGTAATTAAGATAAACAATTTCGGTAGCCAGTTATTTTATTTTATGGGTTCTCGAGCCCACCCCCCTCTGCCAGTCCTGCGGCAAAAGCTATTATAACATCTGCTCTGTATAGCCACCTTTTCTGTCCTGACGACCCATTAAACTTTTACCATAAATACTTTCGAGCAATTTTTGTCGGCAAGCTCTCCGATTATTATTATTTTCATGTTTACATTTGGCTTTTATTTACCTTGTCGTCAACATGGTCTACAACATTTGCCAGCAATTGTTCATAAAATAATCAACATTTGATTTCCAATCGATTTGCCCATTCACTTCCATTTATGGGAATTATTTCTAGGAAATTGGCAGCTGAGCCGCATTCATGCGCCTAATGCAGTACAGTCGAGTCCGTTGTTTTAGTAATTAGATTTTAGAAAAACCAATAATTCCAAATAATCGATGCACTTACATGCAGTGGAATGCTTTTATTTATCGACAATCGGCAACACATAATCGATAACAATCAAACCTTTCCATTGATATGCATTCGTTCAATTAACCTAGCTGTCTGCTGCGTGCTGTAGCTGTCTATGCGAAATGCCGTGCCCCGAATAATTTGCATGCATTGGCCTGGCATTGGCACACCTTTTCACAGGTGTTGCCAGTGCCAAGTGTGTTGCCTGCACAAGGGTATTCTGCCTATCATTGTTTACACCTTGCGTAAAAATCTTTTATGCAAATACCTGAGCGCAACGAAAGCCTGGCGAGGCGAGGCTTAAGCAGGTATACGAGCAGTAGACGCGTGTGGTGTATGTGTGCGTGTATATACATATATATATATATATGTATATTTTGTCAATATTTTGGTGGGTGCTTGCATATTTGTTGTTGATGCATTTCTGTTGCTGTTGCTGCTGCTGCATCGAGTGCCCGCTCGAGTGCATGGTAAATAGTAATTAAAAATGTAAAAAATGCAAATACACTCACACAGGCGCACGCACACACATACAAACACACACGTAAAGCAAACAGCAAATGCTAAATGCAAACACACACACAGACAGGCATAGATTTATGTGGTCGTATGTGTGCTCTGCTGATGGTTGGCAATTTTTACATCTGAATGGCTTTGATTGCATTGGTCCCAAAGCATTTTTATGATGGCTACCGCATTTAATTGCCACATAAAACACGCTTAGGCTGTTCGGTTAGTCGGTTTACCAACAACCTTTAACGATCTATTGGGCGTTTCTCGTACCTTTCTAAAATACTCTGCAATGATGGCAATAAGGTAAAATGAAGACGGCCCTATATGCCTCGGCTCTCATATAAAAACGTAGCTCAAAGACCCAACATGAACTTTATACCTTGATCAGACAGCTTTTCGTGGTCTGACCTTTTCGGTTTACAGGGTATCAACCTGCTGAACACACACTTCTGCCAACTTAATGATTTTAATTGCACGCGGCGTCGTATAAAATCAGGGCCGCGTTGGGTCTTCGGTCATAAACATGGCCAACTTTTCTGATTGCGCAACAAAGTGGAAATTAAATGCCTATTTCCTTTTATCAACAACCCTCATGCACACCCCTCCCCCCCCCCTCCTATCCACCCACTCCCCACCCACGCTTCCTTTCATTTTTCCGTCCCATCACGAAACTCTGCGAAAAGCAAATAACTTGATTCAGATATACAACACTTATACACATTACTACAACAATACTATAAAAAAAACGGCTTTTTAGCAACGAAGGAACCCCATTTATTCTATAACTATGCATTTTTCTTGCCCCTCTTTTTTTTATCGAACTCTGGCACTTTAGGCACCAAATTCCCATTCATCATGAAGCTGTGCTTCTCCTCGTCGAAGAGCATGAACGGCGCCTGGAACAATGCGGCCAATGAGGGCATGATCGAGAAGGAGAATGACGGCGATGTCAAAGTGGAGATTTACAATTGAGATTTGATTACCATTGTGTAAGCAGCCAACAACCAGCTGAACAACACAACAAACAACTACACAACCACAACAAACAGCAGACAACAAACAACAAATATACAGATTATACAGAACTGGAGGAGTTGAATTTATGTGGAGCATATTGGATCGCGATGAGAAGAGAGGCAGACGTACACAACGGCAACATCAAAAACAACAACAACAACAAAGCATATTAAATATTTCAAACACTAATTAAATTCAAATATTGATGGAACGAACATACTGAGTGTAGTCAAGAATAACAAGAAAACTGATTACATATATAAATAATAAAATTAAATTATTGACACACACACACACACACGCACACCTAATCCCGACACACTAACCAATTAATAACTTAAACTTTAACTAAAAGAAAATTTATGGAAAAAAACACAACACGCAAACGCATGTAACTTTTAAACGCCCCATTTACTTGTATTAAAAAAAAATCGAATCACAATTAAACATAATCCCTACACATTCATGTACAAAATGGCGGCGTTCAAAAGCTACACACACGCTCACACAGCCCACATACACACACACACACACACACACACTCACCCGAACTCACGTTGCACACAATTAAACTGAAACACTATTACATGCGTTTGCGTTACAAGAAAAAACATACAAGAAATGTTAATGAAATTGTGTGGAAGAATAGCAAAAAAATTAGGTTAAAAAATTGTTTAGTTGCATTCAAAAACAAAAGAAAACAACAAAACAAAACAACAAAACAAACACCAAAACATTGACAAATGAAAATGTTTAGTTTTTTCTTGCTTTGAGTTTGTAAAGTTTCTCGTGTGTGTGTTGCACTTGATGAAATTATAGCAAAACAACAAATTGTAAACAATGTAATATGCAATTTATATATTATAATAAAAACATATATTAAACACACACAAAAAACGCAAAAGCAAAAATGAAAACCAACAAGAAATCAACTGACTTTCAACTACATATATATACATATATATTTTAGTTAATTATATATCATTTAGACTTATGTACGATATGGGAAGAAAACAAAACAAAAAAACACACAAATGCAACAACAAAATTTCTTTGGACAATATTTCGACAAGTATTCACGTGTGAGACAAAAATCTGATGCTAAAAACAAAATATTTATTGAATCAAAAATATTAAAAAAAAAAAAAGAAAAAATATGCGAGAGCGCAAAACGTGTAAAATTAAACCAAAAATTTAGCAATTTTAAATCAAATTTATTAAATTTAGTTTATGCAAATTTCAGCAAATTTCTAAAACTAAACAAAAAGAAAAAGGATAAACTTGCACAAGCCAATGTTTCTTTTTATTATGATTTTTTCTTTAAATTAAATATTAACAAAAACAAAACGACAAAAAGACAAAAGAACATTAACATTAATTTATGTGCTTAATTTACGAAAGGTTTAAAAAGGCATAAATTTATATGTATGAGCTGTATATGTATTTAAATTTATATTAATTATAATTTTACACTAAATGTAAAAAGCGACAACAAAACTAAAACAAACTAAAATTATAACTAAAACAATTAATGCATAAAAAGCATATTAAATTTATAAATTACAATTAAGTGCAGAGCGAAATTGAGACAGGCAAAAACATACATAAAACTTAAAAGAAAAAATAAATAAAAATACAAAATATTTTTGAGGCGTTTTAAGCTTAGAAGACAAGAGAGCCAAACATTTCAAAACTCCAAATAATTTTGGCGTGACGCATAAAAAAAAACTTTATAAATAATAATAAATTTTAAAAAATATCAGCAATAAAAGCAACAGTAACAACCATATCAAAGGCGTATGTTAGATTAAATGAATAATAACAAAACAAATATAATAAACAAATTGATTACAATTAATTTCATTTAATTTTAAAGCAACTGCAGCTAGTTATAAAATGAATTTTTTATTATTTTTAGAGTCTGTACATTAGGCAGGGCGAAGTTCTATATGACACCTTTGTTCTTAAATGCAAATCAACGAATACTATATGCTATATAGAGCCGTTAAAACGAATTTTTCATACACACACAAACAAACACACACACGCATACATATATATTTCATTTTTAATACTACGTGCAATTATTGCTTTAATTAAATAAAAGAACACTTCATTAATTCTATTTAATTTATTTGCAATTCTCTGCTCATTCGTTTATTTCATCTTTATTTCTATTTTTTTAAACGCGTCTTAGTTGTATGTAAATTGTTGTAAATCGTATAATTGTAAAATATTTTTCTATAATTAAGTATAATTGTACTTAATTTAAACAATTAAAGCATATTGATTTATAGACAGGATTAAAGAAACAAATCTCGTTAATTAAATCATACAATTTATTTTCTTAAGAACCTAAAGCAACAACGATCTTGAAGCTCCTAATTAGTGCATAAACAAATAAATAACATAATAATCTAAAATAAAAAAATATAATAAACTAATTCAATAATACAACAATTCAACTTGGTAGCTATATAATTTATATAATAACATCAGAAACCATATATATGGAATTTAATTTTTTTTAAATGCAACATTTACAACGTTGCAACATTTTATTTTTAGTTTCTTATGAGTTAAAGCGAAAACAAAAAATATATATATTTCTATATATAGTTATATGTATAATTTGTTTTATTTAATATTTAAATTTTGTTGTTATTTTTTAACGCGTTTATTGTGTGCCCAAAGTTTGTAATATGCGCGCTCGATTTTTTTGATATAAATATATATATGTATATGTAAAATTGTTAGCAATTGTATTTGTTTGTCTCATATATTCATTTAATTCAGGCTCTATACCGTAACGACATGGAAGAAAGTTTTTATATGTTTTTACAGGAATTGAAACGTGACAAATAATTTGCCTAATAAAAATAACTATAGATAAACTCGCAACAAGCCACATTCTAGCAAGCGCACAGCCCTACGCCCTTTTTATTTATTTTTTTTATTTAAAGAAAATGATAAACACGATAATAAACTAAACTATACCAAACGATATGCCAAATTGTTAAAGCGTAAATCCTGAATTTTTAACATATCGAAATTTATAAGGCCGCTTAAGTTAAAACGATTTTACAAATTAGGCATTAAAAATGTATGAAAATGAAAAATGAAAAACCCAGAATACTTTCACTGAACAACAAAACTGCTAACAAAACATAATCCATTTGTTAAGAACAAAAACAAACCCTGATAAAATATAAAATGAACGAAAAAAAAAAGCGACAAAAACGCCCAGCAAAAAAAATTGTATGTAAAATATGCAATGCTAGATCTAAGCAATGTTGAGTTAAGAAAGGTGTGGATCATTTGAAAAGCAAACCTAACAAAAACTAAAGGAGTACTAGCCAAATTATTTTCATTTGATTTGCCTACGTTAACAATTCGAGAATTAGACAAAAGAAAAAAATGATTTTCCAACTTTAGTCACAATTTTTCCACATTTTATTTCAAAACATTGGAAATCGTATATTAAAAAGACTAGCTAAATTTCGTTAAATGAAAATTAATTATGTTAAATTAAGGTTGTCAGCGAATTGAATTTGTTAAATGATAACCCTCGCCCTCCCTCCTTAGTTTGCACAATTTTGCATTTTATTTTAAGCGCTTTTTGTAGCAATTTCTTTGCAAATCGTTTGAATCCTTCCCGATTTGTATTGCCGCGTAGTTTTCAACTCTAAAAAAAAAACAAATGCGCATGGGGCACAAGGTAGGTGCTGTTTATAAATAACTCGAACGATATTTTTACCCCCCGTTTGACTCGAGCGATATACAAATCGTATGCTCTACACGGTTTTACTTAGTTCTTGTAATTCGCATACTACACACCAATTACACAACAACTAGAAAATGGACCAGTTTATTCAGCATTGAATTGACAACCACCAAGAATCAAAAACCAAATAAAAGAGTAACGAGAAATTATATACATTATATAAATTGATGAAACCGTCCAAATATGATGAAACAGCAACAACAAACAACACCACACACCGTACACACGAGTTGAAAACTGCTAACAAAAAAAAAGAACCTTAAATTGCCTGCTGCCACTGGAAACGTATTTAAAACATATTTACTTCAGGCAGTTATCGATAAATTATCGGTTTGCCAGCGACAAATGAGCAAGTTGCTTGCTATTTGTTTAGTTCGAGCAATCAATGGTACTTATCGATAATTCTAATCAATAGTTATCGATAACAACAATTTCTTACATATTGCAGAGCTGAAAAGGCAGGGCAGATTCATTCTGCCTTCGCACCGCCCGCACCTTTTTACTAACATTTTTGACTAACCAAATTCGTTAAAATGGAAATTATCGAGCAAACGATGATTGTAATCGATAATCGATACAAATTTCACACATTACAGAGCCGAAAGGGGAAAGCATCAACTTTACCCCCGCCTGCCCCTTCAGACACCCATCAGCCGCCGCGCCTATAAGTATGCCACAAAAACGCTTCGAAATTGTTTTAAAATCGTTTTCAGTCGCACAGGCGGTTTTTTTATGAATATTCCAATACCATGCTGCTTACACGAGTTACAACTACAAAGCTAAACAATGAAAAACATTTTATTTGCTAAAAACAGAAAGTAAAAAATGAAACCAAAAACAATTTTCTATGAATCAACTTTTTACTTGCTAAACATTTTGCTATGATTTTGGTTTTTCCGAAAAAACAAATTGAAGCAAACGAAAATAAAACAACAAAAACACTAAAAACAAAACCAACAACTTTGTACACCGAAACGAATTCATAATAATCTATGATGAATATGCATATTGAGAGTAATCCAAAAAAAAAAAACTAAACAGAAAAAAAAAACAAACGAAAAGCTACATATGAGAAATGCATAAAAGATACAACTACAACTATATTCTTATAGGCTTATAGTTTATACTTACATACATACACATACATACAAGTACTTATATATACATTAAACAAATATTTACATATAAACTATATACTATATAACAGAGTACATACACACACGCATAGTAATACAATACACACATACATATGTGGCATATATGTACATACATACATATATATATGTATATGTATATGTATATGCAAATGTATATGTATATGTATGCCTATATATAGTTTTTAAAATAAACAAGAAAAGAAGCAGCGCGTGTCAATTTTAAATGCAAGCTAAAATTTAAATCTCCAAAAAACGAAAAGCGTTCATTTATTCGCTTTTGGCATGTTGAAGAAACATAACCAAACTTTCACATAATTACACCACAAATTACACAAACTACACCAAAGACAGACAAAGACACAGACACAGACACAGACACAGACATGACACAGACACAGACAAAGTTTTAAAACTAAAAATGAAAAGGACAACTGCATAGTGTAGTCGTACGCGTAATTACTGGTGATAATTTTGAAAAAATCTTAAAACATATTATTAACAAGTAAATACCATAAAAAAAAAAAAAAAAACAAAAAATATAATCGTACATTAACTTACACCACGTACTGTAATTGCTACGTAATCTTAGCAGCTATGAATTTTGTCCCCAATTTCCCCTCCAAATAGATGTCTATACTATATATACGATTTATATATACACACACACACACACACACACATACAGACAGACACACTTACGCATATATATATATAAT